TCGCAGCAGATAAAAATAATAACTTTTGAATAAACATAAAAATTATATATTAATAAACATTTCCCAACTTGTGTTTAAAATAATAAAATACTTTATAATCACTAAAAATTATCATTTAATTAGAATATTTTAATAGATCAAACATTATTATATTACATTCAGGAAGGATGACAAGGAGATGTACTCACATTTATTATCACCACTTTAAACACAATAAATTAATATTAATCTTACATTCATTGATATAATTGTGTATAATTTAAATATGTACTGATTATTGTAAATGTTTACGTAATAAAAATTTATAATAAGACATGATTTATGTTTTTCAATATGTTAATAAGTTTATAGGGCAAAAACAAATTCTGTGAAATAAATATGGACAATAATATAATTACAAGTTCTTATAAAGTTAAAAAATTACAAATTTATTATGTTTTCATGTAAATAGTTGCGTTATAGATTTTGTTACTTTAATATTATAAATAACAAAAAAGTTTAAAGTTTATCGATTATTCTAAACGTCAATGGTCAATAATAGTATTCGTAATCATACAACACGTTCGAAAATAGTAAATTAGTAAACGTAGATAGCAAATCCGGTGAATAAAAACATACATAATACATTTAGAGTTTTATACAATAATTAAAAAAATATGGACAATATGGTATAACTTAAGATTTTATTTTAAAATTTACAAGTATGCAATCTACGAATTATTTTTCTTAGGTAAAAATGTTAAAACAGTTATATAATTGTAATTCATTAATTTTATATTGATGAATAATATAATTAAAATGAACTAATTAAACTAAAAGATGTTGTAATTAATTGAAAATTGTATTAGGCGTGTTAAAACACAGCTTAAATCATTAAGTTATGATTAAAAAAAAAAAAGTTGAAAAATTATAAATTAAAAATTCCAATAGTTACTATTACTATATTTTAAAATAATTATATTTACCTAATTTTTATGTAATGTTTGAAATTGAAATATATTATTGCTTGAAATCTTAAATACCTAACGATGGAAATTTTATTATTTTGTCAGTAAACGCAAAGGGTTTTAAGTCAGTAAAAATAGTCATTCACCCGAGTCCCCTAATTATCGTTATAAACTATTGTTACTATTAATGCACCACACAGAAGAGCAAAAGCTGCAGATGTTACTGCCAGGTGTTGGACCAAGATAGCTGCGCGCGACCCTAAATTTTTGAATTCCTGATTTAAAATTAATTAACAATTTATATGAATTCTTGTGCGGTCAATGAAATATAAAACTTTTATAATATTTAAATTGCATGATAGATATAAAGTAAACAAATAATGTTCTATTAGAATTTTGTTCTATTGGATTTAGATATCAATGTCAAATGGCCATCATACGTAAATATTCTAAATTAATATTTTTTTTTAAAGTGCAAGTTTACAATTAGATATCCTAATATTATACAGTTGTTATATCATGGCCATACTGTTTTTAATACAGTTAGTAATTCAATTTCAATCAAATATTTAACCAAAAAAATAAACGTATTGTTTGTTTCTTTAAAAATTGCTCTACACAACCCGCTTGTATAATATGTATGAAAAGAAGTATTTTAAATGGATGATTTCTACGAAACGTAAAATTTAATAACTTAACATCTAAGCATAATAATATAATGAAACGTAAAATAAATGCTAAGATAAATTCAATTTCATAATCTTATAAAATGTCACCTCCTAATATAATTTATGTCTCCGTACTAACAAATTCTTAACTCTTTTGTTATATTTATTACATTTACGATATAATATAACTTGAACGATTTTTCTAAGAGTATTGTATTTAATTTGGCCATAATTTGAGAGAAAATATCCACTTAATTTTCGTCATCCAACGTCTAGATTCAAATAATAAGATTTATGAACTTTAATGTTGATCGGTAATTTTCCAATGAAATTTAACATTATTAATGTTTAGATTTTCAATGCTTATATTGAAGCTTGTATAAAGTATTGCTTTATACAAACTACAAATTACTAAATTACACGTATTTAATATCATTTATACATAAATAAATAATTTACGATACACCTATAAGTTAAACGGTGCGTAAAGTAAAGTTACAATATTGATTTATATCCATATACATATACATATATTGTAAATAATCTAACCTAACCCACATAAATTTTATATTTGTATTAAAATAAAGGAAGTATATCAATTTATATTAATAAATATTTCAAATTATGAATGTCCTCGAGCAAATTATAATAATTTGTAATTTCATATTAATATATTTTTTTTAAGATTTGTGTTTACAATTAATTAATTGTAATCTAATTAAGCTTGAAGATGGTGTTATAATATATTATATGAAAATAGATAAGTTTTCAAAATGTTTAAATGATGATATCAAATTATACACTTTTATAAATAATTATTGTCTTAAAAAGTTTATTTTAAATAGAAAGTTATAACTTAATAGAACATTTCATGTTTAAGACTATTAAAGCTTTACTAACTTTAACCTTTATAATGTAAATATTTTAATTTAATAAATTGTATTAAACATGATTAAAAAAAGAAAGTAAATGCAAAAAATAATTACATTAAATAAATATAAATACATTTCTGTTTACAGATTAAGCAATTAGCGTTTAAACATAAAAATAAATATTTACATATATTACAAATTATGAAGTATAAGTACTTAACTTATTACTTTCGTTTTTTTAGGAATACTTTATAAAAAAAAAAAAATTTAAAAAAATATGCTTATCAATTATATTGGTATATTATAGTACCTACCTTTAATTTTTATTGTTTTCTGACATTTGCATTACATCAATACATGCATTTCAATAATTAATTTATAAAATAAAACAAAACCTAAAAACTTAATATAATTAATTAATTATTCAATATCGATTTCAATTATTTCGATTAAATATTATATACATGTAGTTAATTTTTGTGTCAAGACATCAATATGTCAAGTTTGTATTTTGTTTTAAAAAATAATAAAACTTCAGTTAAAGATAACGAGCAAGACTATTACTATTAAAAAATTAAAAATCAATATAGATGATACTATTTGAATAAAATAATTACATATTTTCTGTTTTATGCAGAGATAGAATAAAAAACGTAGCTGTGGAAAAAAATAATAAGTTAAAATTATTCTCTCTACTTTCTCTGTTACGTACATATATGTAAATACGTCCCTGAAACTATTGTTAAATTTGTATATTTCAGTCAAGTAAATAATTATTCTTTACTTATTGTGTATTAATTCAAATTAAAATAATATTAAAATAAACACAAATAAAGATATTTTAAAATCTTATTAAAGTAAATGTATTAAATAATAAGGACGATAAGGACAAACTTTGAATATAACATTAAAAAATATTGGCAAATCTTTATATTTTAATATAAAGTATTCGTTGATAATTTAAAAAAAAAATAAAATCATACAAAACATATTATAAATAATATCTACTATATCAATATTATATTTGTAATATCTTTATAACTTAAATCATAATATTTATAAACATATTAATTAAAAATCTAAATTACTATTTTAATAACTGGGGAAGTAAGAACTATATTGGGATAAAATACTGTGAATATAATCGAACTTAAATTTAACACATTAAATATATTTCACCGACTTAATGTAAATATCATTTGAAATTCTTCAAAAAATAAAACGGTAATATTTTATTTTATCCAATTGCTAAATTAAACAATTATTGGAATTTCAATTTAATTTAATTTAAATTAATTAATTTAAAAAAAGAATTATTAATCAAAAAACGAATTTTATTTTATGATAAACATTTACAAAATCTAATCAATACGTGTGCTAATATTATTTAACTCTTCAATTTACTTAAAAACTATAAGATTCATAATATTATTGAAAATTAATATTAGAATTAATGTATATATTTATTGATATAAGTTTTTATTTTCTTATTAATATCATTAAATATTATAGCTATAATTTTCATAGCTGTGTTAGTCTAAATAATTAAATGATTTTACAGAACATAGTTTATATATTTTTTTTTAATTTTACCTTTATAACTTAAACGTATCTGGTACAATATACGTTTTCTGTTTAAAAGACTTTATTTTTTATAGCTATAAACGTTATCGTTAAGTAAACACTGAAGCACAACTGTACATTATTTAGTTCGGTAAGCAGTTCATATATATTCGCGAGAAAGTGTTTCATTGAAAATTTATTTATTAACACTGTCGTTAATGCGGCCATTAAAACAGTGACATTTTTGCATTTTAAATGCGTTCATGATGTTAATTTAATACATTTTTGCGCATATTTAAAAAAAAATAAATATTTTTAGCGTTTTGAAATTTACAAGTCTCTCTAATGAACGAAAATAATACATTTACATCCAAGATCACCTTTTCCTCATTATTTTCTATTTTAACCATGTCGAGTGTTATTGTTGAATAGCTACTCTCCTCATGATTTCACAGTCAACTTGTATTTTTCCGCTCATATGCATATTGTTACTACTATTACATATTGTATATATTCAAATAAATGTTAAAAAAAAATAATTTATTTTAGGTTTTAATAAAATAATATATTATCTGCAGAATTAAAATAATATTAACGTTTTGAACAGAGTCAGCTTATAATGAAAGGTCAAATTATTTTACACGTGAGATAAAGATTGTATACTATTTTGTTGGGAATTATGTATTTCATTTTATATATAACAATTTAAATTTAAAATTATTATCGCTTTCAGTACATCAATTTAAGTGACTCATTGCAACCAAATAAAAACAATTGAGGTCGTATAAAAATTCTATCAATAAGTAATAATTTTATGCTGTACTATAAATAAATCTAAGTCATTAATGTTAGTGATTTAAAGGGTAGTTAATTTCATTATTACATAAATGAACAAACACTCCTATATTAATTGTTTTTAGCATTGTTTTACTAATAATCATCATTATTACCTGACGAGACTGCAACCGGCCAGATAGACAACACGAACATCAGCCAATACGTCATGCTCGTTTTTATATTTAACGTCGTTTGTCAATCGTCTGCTTCGTTATCATTATTAAAACGCTGTCCCTGAAAAGAAAAAATATAGGTACTTTTAAATTTTTCGTTTTTTTAAACAGAAATGTTTGCATTATATATTAATACATTATATTATATTATTATGAATGCGATGATTCAATGAGCATTTATTTTCTGTGTCATCTAGTTTTCTATAAGTGTAAACAATAATTTTAAACTTATTTTTTTCCATCAAACAAATATACATTTTCATATACCCCGATGAACTGGTCGGTACACGGTCCAGTTATTGTCGGTAAATACTAAATATAATAAGTAATTTTTCATTTAATTTTATATAAAAAAAAAATGTTAATATTGAGTTTTGCTGCTTCCATCTTGGAACAATACAATTAATGAACAACAGACATAATTATCTGAACTAACTATATAGTTGCACGCAATTTGCTGCAGCTGCCAGCAACTGTGAAAACTTCCTGCTACGGGATTGAAACAATTGAAATAATATTTTATACAAGAACTCTTAATCTTTTGATAAAAATCCGATTTAAAATTTTTTTTTTTTTTTGATATAATATATTATTGTCGTTATAGCCACTACAGCCAGAGCAACTTTTAACGAATCGATTGCATCCAACTTAATTAAGCCGATATACATAGTATAAGGACACCACCACTCTCACCGTCACTACCTCCGTCCGTTAGAGTTGGTAAAATTAATTTTAATATTTTTTTTTTTTTTTGCTTTTCCCCTTCAACTTTTACCCTTTTGGTTTTTCTAACCAATCGACCAACCAACCAAATCGAAATTCATTTTCCGAAATAATATTCTCTCCGGGTCCGCGTTAATTGAGTTACACGAGCTTATATAAAGCCATATATAATATATATACGCGCACAACGCATTACTCGACGACAGCCGCATAAAGAATAATCATCGGTCGCCGTTTTTGGCAAATGTTCGCACTCGTATGGGCGTATGGGCGTGTGTGTGAGTGTGCATGTGTGTGTTCGAGAGTATTCGCGTATTATAGTCATTGCCTTTTCCTTTACCCCACTGCCGTCGTTTTAAACGCCGCCAACACGCCTCGGGAATCCAATGGAATGTCAATTAAGCCGAATTAAACGTGGTAGACCGCCCAGCTGACGGGTCACGCACTACAGGCATACACACATCCGACGCATTTACCCTCTCCGCTGGTATAAATTCAATGAAAGACAATCCCGACGTGCAGTGACTGACGAGCTCGGCCGGAAGTGCGCACGCGGCTCCGGCGTATCTACCGACACTGTATATATGTAATGAGTACACATAATGCATCGCGTACAGAAATAAATAATAATAATATGCCTTGTATACCTACGTTATTTAGTTAGTTAAGGGTGTGAATTGTGAAACATTTATTTTGACTATTCTAAAATATTTTCTATGAGTTAATTTAAATTTTGAAAAATATATTTTCATGTATAGTTCAGAATGCGTATTTATAAGTAAATTATTGTTTTCCTATTGAATATTTTATACTTATATAATTTGTGCAATATATATGGACATTTTTTAATAGAATTAAATATTTGACCACAGTCCATAGTATTTTTATTATGATCTATGATCATAAACGAGTTTATTGAATTCAGGTTAATTACAACTGGATATTTTTAGTGCGAAATAGTGTAAACGATCTTTTTGGACGTATTAAAAGTTTATGAACAATAAAATTATGCGACAAAACGGGTTTACAAATCAATCATTTATTTTTAAACGTAAGAAGATATCTTGAAAGTCAAATAAAATTAGATAATATTGTATTAAACTGATTAATTTATTAAATAAAAAAGTAGGGGAATCCACCCTAATGTCACAATTCACGTTTCCCTTATGAGGGTCTAACACCCATATTAATTTTACTCTATTTGCACCCGTGATGGTTAAATCATTGTGGTGAAACCCAAAATGATAATAATAATAACGCAATTCGTACGGAAATTAGTCTCGTGTGCCATTTGTATTATAGGATGCATAATAGACTCACTTCAATTATAAACCGGTACGTCACAGTAGAACGATAATTATTATCGGAAACGAGACAATCGTGGTTAATATACAAAATTCGTTTACGATGCAGAACGATATAGGCGGTATTTATTATAATTTAATCAATCGCAACGGTTGTTTTTTTTCTAGACTGTCAACTACAGGTCTTATACAGTAATAAATTAATATAAAATATATCTAACAGATTTTTCTTTTGTAACGTCGAGATGAAATTATTACATGTGATATATATTATATATAATAGTCAGATTGATAACGAGTTTTGAAAAACGAAAATTAGTGTGCTACCCAATTATATTATAATATAATATAAATTTGACGGTTATGTATTTTAATGTAAATGAAATTATAGCACAGAAAATTAATTTTATATTGAAATAGCATTAAAAAAAAAAAAAAAAAAACTGAACAAATTTCTCATATTAAAGAGCACGACAAAAAAAATGTAAAAAACAACGAAAATGGTAACGGTAATAATATGTAATAATTCAAATGAAAATTGATAAAATTGCCGTTTAGAGTGGTGTGACCTAATATAAAATAAAATACATGCGTTGATCAGAATTTTAGATTTTTTTCTTAGATTTAAATTTAAAATAAAGAAAAATGTGCAATCAAAATATGATAATAAAACAAGTTAATGATAAATGCTAGTAAATTTGTTTTTAAATATCTCTTTTTTATTTGGGGGGAGATTAAACTTTTGAAAATCAAACGAGATTATATTTATATATATTTGCAAGAGAGACCGTCTCATGCAATGTGTGCAACAAGTCTTCACTCAAAAAGGTACTCAGTTGATAATACATCAACAGACATAACCAAGTTGTGTCTTTAATATATGATTGAAAGGTCAAATCGACAGAGGTTAAGTCAGATTATTGGTGTTCATAATATAGTTTTTTATCATTTATCCATAATATAGTTAAGTTACAATTTTTTTTTAATACCTAAGACGACAAAATTATCGTTTATTTTTAAATTTTCCATTTAAATTGTTTAATATACACGTTGTGCATTGAGAAATTTAATAATATCTTCAAGTTAAAATTGTTTTGAAAAATGTGATATATGAGATAAAAATGTTGTACGAAGCCATCATTTCTAAGATGGACATTTAACGTGCGATAAAAATTGATTGATTTTATGAATTTTTATATTCTATACATATCAAATGTATCCTTATTGTACTCTATTCAACTTAAAAATAAATTATTTATTTCTTTTTTGAATTAAAAAAAAATATATTTATTGCTATATTTTAACATAAAATCCAAATTAACTTTAAAACTACGGATTAACTAAAATATATATGAAATAAACTTAATAATTTTAAGATTATTTTTTAACCCTTTGATTACTTGTTAATAGTGAGTTTATATAAAAATACTTCTGTAAATGTTAATTATTTTAGAAAAAAAAATCATTCTGTATACTCGTATACATATGTAATATATTATTTCTATTGGCAGTTAAGGCCACATAATAATAATTACTCCACTGAGGCTTTTCGTGTGGTCGTGACAACCGTCGTTATGTATACATAAATATAGAATCAGCATACCTCCCTTCACCGGTGGTTGGGCCTCGAGCTGGACAATCCTTGCGTCATCTCCCCACAATCGCAGTGACAGTAATCTTAGCGTAGAATGGAAGAAAATCCAAAGGCGTGATAAATAGTTCATAAACACCGTTAAGTAGATATGACCTCAAGAGTTAATATGAGTTAGAATTATAATGCATATAATATACCTATTTATGTATAATGGCATATGATTTGGTTGACATAGTGATGGGTGTTAAGATCACGAACTTGGTAAATCGATTGGAAATCCAAAAAAATATTTTATTTTATTTTTAGTTGGTTACAAACTGTGGCTAATGACGTTAAATAAATGTATAACCGGACAAAATAAAATAAATAAAAATATCATAATATACATTTTATTTTTGAAATCATTATCATTATTTATTATACCATAATTTAAATATAACTAATTATAGATCACACCATTGTGATATATTGCAATGATGAAAAACATTACATTTAGGTTTATTATTATTTAGTCTCCTCAAAAACATAATTTTTTAAAATCCCCTAACACCTTGACATTGATCGGTTGTCATCCGTACCACTATAAAAGATTTAATTTCTACTGACACGTTATTAACCCAACTTTCATTATAATGAATTCAAGAAAACGTACTATTTTTGTTCTCTTGTATGAATTTTGGATAGTTTAGGTCTCAGTTGAATATCCTACATTATACAGTAAATCAAAAATATTTTACTATTATAGCTAACTGAAATAGCTAAGATAGGTAGTGTCTTAATATTTTCTGGTCACGTGAGCTGTTCAATTAGGGCTTTAGCCTTTAATTAGAATTTAAAATTAGCCAGCCACTGAGAATTGTATCCGTATAATAAACCAATCTATTTTATGAATTGTATTATTAATAATACATTATTCAAGAAAATAATTTTTTGACAGAAATTTGTAGATTATATTTTGGTCCCAAATATTTCAAACTATTAATATCGGATATTGATATTTATTATTTAAAAAAGATAAATTTCAATAAAATAGTTGTAAATTAGCTATTAACATTTCTTAAATTCATACATATTTATAATTTATAAATATGTGTTTATACAATATTATTATTATATTGTAGATTGTTACTTACAGATTATTAAATTTTAACTTGTATACATTTTATGTAATATAATACACCTGTCTACTACTCATTAAGGTTCCATAACGAAGTTAAATATATTAATCTTAATCAAAATTGTTCATACAATTAGATATGCTATTAAAGCAATATATTTCATAAACTATATTACATAGAAAACATTATATTTTATTTTAAAGCATAATGATAAATCTTATAATATTTTACAACGAAACACGTATTAGGTACATATTATAATAAATAATTACCTACTGAATAGGAATTTATGAAATCAAAGACTTATTTCTCTATAAAGCTA